AGTTTTTCATCAGTTTACATCAGTTTTGCATCAGTTCACATCATTTTTTAATTCATTTTTCATCAGTTCACATCAGTTTTTCATCCGTTTTTCATCAGTTCACATCAGTTTTTCATCAGTTTACATCTGTTTGCATCAGTTCGCATCAGTTTTTCATCAGTTCGGTTCAGTTTTTCATAAATTTACGTCAGTTTTTCATCCGTTTACATCCATTTTTCATAAGTTCACATCAATTTTTTTATCAGTTTACATCAAGTTTTCATCAGTTTACATCAGTTTTTCATCCGTTTTTCTTCAGTTCACATCAGTTTTTCATCATTTTACATCAGTTTTTCATCAGTTTACATCCGGTTTTTATTAGCTTACATCAATTTTTCATCAGTTCACATCAGTTTTTCATCCGTTTACATCAGTTTTCATCCGTTTTTCATCAGTTCACATCAGTTTTTCATCAGCTTACATCAGTTTTTCATGAGTTCACATCAGTTTTTCATGAGTTCACATCAGTTTTTTATCAGTTTACATCCGTTTTTTCATCAGTTCACATCAGTTTTTCATCAGTTTACATCAGTTTTTCATCAGTTTACGTCGGTTTTCATCAGTTCCCATCAGGTTTTTCATCAGTTTACATCTGTTTTCATCCATTTTTCATCAGTTTACATCAGTTCACATCAGTTTTTCATCAGTTTACATTAGTTTTTCATCAGTTTTTTATCAGTTTACATCTGTTTTTTTACATCCTTTACCAATGCACAAATGGACCGTATGTTTGTTTACATCTGTTTTTCGTCCCTTTACATCCGTTTTTTTTTGCACAGAAGAAAAATAGGGTTTTTTTCTGTGCAAAATAAAACAGATGTTAACCGGTTCCTGCCCGGCCTATGGCCGAATGGCGGCTGGCAAAAACACTCACCTTTCCGGGTGGAAGCCATATGGCGTCCTTTCGGGCATGCGCAGTTTGAGCGCCTTCAGAGCCGCGCAGTGGCACGATCTGTCACTGGCCCTGTACCTCGGACACGGCCGATGACAAATCTGAGTACCGACCCTGTTTCCAGTACCATGTGACCTGCTGTGACCAATCACAGCAGGTCACATGACAGTTGTATACAATTCATTAATGCCATCCATTGTATACTAGTGTGTCTAGCTGTGAATGGTCACAGCAATCACATGCACAAGCTGGGACAATCACACCCCAGCTATGTCATGTGATTAGCCGTGGCCAAATCACAGCTAAGCACAAAAAAAAAAAAAAAAAAAACCCTGAATGAATCGATGTCATTAAGGTAAATGCTTGCTTATAGCAAAGTAATTCTTTGTTATAAGCAAATTGTGTAAAAAAAAAAAAAAAATACTGATCACTTCCCCAAAGTAGTACAGTGTTACTATGGTAACGTTGTACTACTTTGGTCATAGTAAAATATGAAAAAAAAAATCTTAAAAAAAAGAAAATAAATGTAATAAAAAATTAAAAATAATAAAAAAATATATATATATATTTTTTTTTTTTCATACTGTCACCAGTCAGTGTCCCTGATCACCGCCATGACAGTTATATGATGACGCTGTACTGCACTGGTGACAGTATGTAAAAGTGAAAATCATTTTTTTACATTTTTTCATTTTCCGAAAAATTATGACAAAAAAATACAACTTCAAAAAACTCGCCATGCCTTTTATGAAATACGTCTGACTGTCTACTTTGCAAAAAGGGGTCATTTGGGGGATATCTGTACTGTTCTGACATTCTTGGACCTCAAGAAATTAGATTGGCTGTCAGTACTTCAGGATTGATCAATATTCAGATCTATCCCATAGTTTGTGAACTCTATAACTCTCCTACAAACTAAAAAATACATCCTAATTTGGGTTATTTTCACCAAAGACATGTAGCAGAATACATCTCGGCCTAAATTTATGAAGAACAATTATTTATTTGCAAACTTTTATAACAGAAACAAAGAAAAACGTGTTTTTATTTTCAAAATTTTTGGTCTTTTTTTGTTAATTTAGCAAAGAATTAAAACCCCAGTGCTGATTAAATACCACCAAAAGAAAGCTCTAGTTGTGTGAAGAAAATGATAAAATTTTAGTTTGGGTACAATGTTCTATGATCGCGCAATTGTCATTCAAAGTGTGAGAGCGCTGAAACCTGAAAAATGGCCTGGGTAGGAAGGGGGTAAAAGTGCCCCGTATTGAAGCGGTTAATGGGTGCAGACATTAACGGATGTAAACAGATAATTATCTGTTTACATCCGCTAGTCCATAGAAATACATGGATGTCCATTTTTCATCTGTAAACGGACAGATGAAAAACGGACATACGGAACGCCTGTGTGAAAGGGACCTTAAATGGTTCATCTCATCCCTGTAACTGCTACATTTGTAGCACAGCTTGCTCTTTTGAAAAACAACAGATTTACTGGCTAGATTACTAGGGGAACATTAAGCAAAGAAAACGAATACAACTTTAGAATCTAAGAATTGGTGATCTGCAATATTATTATTATTATACAGTATTTATAAAGCGCCAATAGTTCACTCAGCGCTGTACATTACAAAGGGGGACAGAACATGTGACAGAACAATACCAATACAATGCAAAACATGAGGGGATCGAGGGCCCTGCTCTTTCGAGCTTACAATCTAGGAGGGAGGGGATGGTGGCACAGGAGGAGATAGCTGTGGGGGATGGAGTGGTAGGAAGAGTGGAGGAGGTCGGCAAGTTAGCAGGGGGTGGGGTAGGCTTCCCTGAAGAGATGGGTTTTCAGGGTGCGCCTAAAGGAGAGGAGAGTAGGTGATAATCTGATGGGTTGGGGCAGGGAGTTCCAGAGGATGGGTGACACCCTGGAGAAGTCCTGGAGGGGGGCATGGGAGGAGGAGACCAGGGAACTAGAGAGAAGAAGGTCTTGTGAGGAGCGGAGTGTGCATGCTGGGCGGTACCTGGATTTTAGGTCAGTGATGTAGTTCGGGGCAGTATGGTGGACAGCTATATACAGCAATATAATAAACGTTTGCTTTTGGGTTCAATACCTCTTTAATATTGGATAATCATGGGATGACCCTTTTAAACCTGCTAAACCTTATAAGAGATTTTACTGATTGGCTTTACAGCTACTTAAAAACTGCCTATAAATTGACTTGAGCAAGACGGTTAGTTTGAGATTTTTTTTTTAGCATTGTCACAGATCCAGTCTATATGGACACACATATGCCAGGTTTCTAGGGTAACACATAATTATGCTGATTGGCCTAATTAGAATCATAACACCAAAGCTACTTATATGTAAATGATTTGTAGGACAGAATGGAGTGTTGCTGTGGTAAATTCCACTTTCCCTGTGTGACTCCCCCATAACGCACTGATTTGTGAAGTGTTTAACTCCCTAATAGCTTTAGCGAGTGTAGCGAGCCCTAGGAAGAGGTATATCCGCCTGCTTATAAAAATGAAGAATAATCAGACAGCCGAGTCAATGTCGAGTTCAAGTTCAACGAAGGCATCTCCTGGATATGTTTCAACCACAGCCACTTCCAGGTGTTACATATTTATGATCACCTCGGGCCATCTGCTGATCTCTTACGGATCTGAGAACGCAGGAGAGAAAAATCATCTTAAAGAGATGCTCATTTATTGCGGCCCATTTTTAGACCTTGTCATCTCGCCAGAATTCGACGCGAACCATTCGTTTCACAACAGCGCCGCTCATCTTATCAACCATACAATAGATGTTGACTTTTTATTGGGATTTTCTTGTTTTAGAATGGAAATGTTTAAAGGGACACTGTCATCAACAGGAGGAAAATACATTATTTAGTTATTTTTTATTTGATTGTGTGTATATATATATTATACAGGATTTATATAGCGCCAACAGTTTGCTCAGCGTTTTACAATATAATGGGAGACAATACAGCAACAATACAGTTCAATACAAGAGGGTTAGGAGGGCCTGATCCTTGGAGCTTACAATCTAAGATATATATATATATATTTTTATATTATTGATTTTTTATTTGATTATTTTATATATATATATATATATACTTTTTGTCTTTTTTTAAATTTGATTGTGTTATAGGTGATTTCCAATACGTGCACGTGCGGTTTTTGTTTAAACCATCTGTATTTATAAAATAATTGACCATGTAGATCTTAAAACTGAAATCCAGAAAAGGGAAAAACTGTCCCTTGCAGTGGGGCTGCACGGGTTAATCACTTATTTAGATCTAGGGTGCAGAAAAAAAGCAGTTCTACTTACTCAATCCTCCGCTCCCGCAGGCTCCCTCCAGGCTGTAAGACTGATCCCTGCAGCCTCTTCTGCAGTCTCTTCTCCCCTATGCTCCAGCGGTCAGAGATCCTCTGACATAATTAAAATGTTACTATGCTTTTGTGGGAAAAAAATAGCAAATATTGAAATTTTTTTTTTAAATAATAGCACATATACAATTGCTACACAAGGCACACTGTAATTTAAAGAGTAACTCCACTTTTACTGAGAGAAAAAACCCCATTCCCCTCTAGGTGATCTATCTACATAGAAAAAGATTTTAACCACTAGTCTACAGGGCACTTATATCCCCTTCCTGCCCAGGCCAATTTCCAGCTTTCAGCGCTGTTGCACTTTGAGTGACAATTGCGCGTTCATGCAACACTGTACCCATATGAAATTTTTAGCATTTTTTTTAGACAGATAGAGCTTTATTTTGGTGGTATTTAATCACCTCTGGTTTTTTTTTATTTTTTCTTAAACAAACCAAAAACCACTGAAAATTTTGGAAAAAAAAAAAAAAGTTTTTTCTTAGTTTTTGTTATAAAATTTTGTAAATAAGTGATTTTTCTCCTTCGCTGATGTGCGCTAATGAGGGTGTAGTGATGGGCACTGATAGGCTGCACTGACGGACACTGATAGGTGGCACTGATGGGCACTGATGCGGAGGCACTGGTAGGTGGCACTGATGGGCATTGACAGGCATCACTGATATATGGCACTGATAGGCGGCACTGATAGGTGGCACTGATAGGAGGCACTGACTGGCACTGATAGGTGGCACTGACTGGCAATGTTAGGTGGCACTGACTGGCACTGTTAGGTGGCACTGATTGGCTGCACTGATAGGTGGCAGTGACTGGCATTGATAGGTGGCACAGGCTGGCACTGATGGGTGACACTGAAAGGCAGCTCAGAGGGCCACTGATATGTGGCATTCATGTGCACTGGTAGGCACTGAAATGTGGCACTGATGTGGCACTGATGGGCACTGACAGGTGGCATGGATGAGCACTGACACATGGCACTGATGGACACTGACAGGTTGCACTGCTGGGGCTACACTGATCATCAGGGCACACTGATCATCAGTGCTCTGATGATCAGTGTACATGTCCCCTCCGAGGAATGCCGATTACTGGCTCTCCTCTCGAGCTGTCAGCGTGACAGCTCGTGAGGGAGAGAAATGCCGATAACCGGCATTTCCCTGTTTACATGTGATTAGCTGTGATTGGACACAGCTGTTTACATGACTGAGCCAAAATCTTTGGCTCTTTCTGTGGATCGGTGATCCGCTGTGTCCGAGGGACACAGCACACCGCCGATCGGCACGCTGCACGCTCCCGGAGCCGTGCATGCGCAGTGAGAATGGAAGGACATCATATGACGTCCTCCCAGAAGAAGAGAGCGGCCTTGCGTCCGTCGTTTTTCTATATGGTGGGCGGTTAACAAATTTTGTTGCAGATTCCTACCTTTTTGTTATTCTGAAGAAAGGTGCAAAGTGAATGTGAATGGATGTGATTTTATAATAATCAATTAGCTGCTGCAATTATAGGGTTCTACTGAGGAAATTGGCAAGGTCTGCATGCCTTTAGACTCCATTCACACTTGTGAGACTTTCATCGCGATTTTACAGTGCGACTTGATGCGACTTTGACATGACGTTGGGTGAGTATGACTTCGGTGCGACTTTGGCTTTGACCAAGGAAGATTGTTTGTGCTGTACAAATTCACACACAAGTTGCATGTATATCATTCATGTGTGACTTTCATGCAACTTTGGAGGGTTTACATCTACGTCTATGGCCCTCAAGCTGCTCGAAAGTCGAACCAAAGTAGTGCAGGAACTACTATCAAGTCGCTCAGATATAAATGGTACTCGTTGGGAAACATGGGGTGCGACTTGTTATGCAACTTTGGACCCCAAAAGTCACATGACAAGTCGCACAAGTGTGAATGGGCTCTTAGGGCTCATGTAAACTGCAACTGCTAAACTGAAGTTTAGGAGCAGTTGTGAGGTTTTTTCAGCAGCCCCTGAACTCTCTCTTATGTTTTCCTGTGTGTCCATGTACACATAGTCATTTACAGTCATTTACAGACAGTTGAGCTTACAGGCATTTTTTTGAAAGCACCGCTCTCTCTTTTCTGGGCATTTGGGAGGGTCTCCTGAGGTTATCTTTTAAAAACGATTCTAAAAGCGGTAGTAAACACGGCTAAACTGACATTTTTAACCTACGTTTTCTAGCAGTCAGTTTTCAGCAGTCAGAAAAGTTTTTCTAATGCCCCGTGTACATGAGCCCTTAGACATGATATTCCCTTTGGGAGTATCTCACCAAAAAATGACAGTTTTGTTGCAGGGGATGCCCAAAATCAGATTTGATTTTAGTGCAGGCTTCTGGGAAAATCAGTGAGCCAATCACACAAGCAGGAAATCACATTTTTGTACGGAATGCCTCCAGTTCCAGCTACATTGCATATTACAGAAAATTACAGCTCTGCAGATGGAAAAGGAAAGGTCATTTTTAATAACATTCAATTACAACATGACTTGTGTCACAATTGTATACACGATATTGTTATTATTATTTTTTTTTTTTTGCTATTTTTCTCATGAAAGTGAAGTTTATTATTATAAAAAAAATACTTTTTCTTTTCAATCTGCAGCCACTATAATTTTCTGGAAAATTCAATGCAATATGGCGACCTGGAGGCATTCTGCACACATTTGGTGTACAGAGCTTCCCCAGAAATGTCATTTCATGCTTTTGTGATTCCCTCATTGACTTTCAGAAGTCTGCATTAAGACACAAGTCAGATACTCAATACATGCTTTTCTGCAGCGTTCCCATTGAAGTCTATAGAACCAAAAAACGCAATGTTTTGCGTACAAAAAAAGTCTGCGACCATTTCCAAAAAATGCACCAGGTGAAAACGCACAGATGTGAACCTGTCCCATAGGAAATCATGTTAAATGGACTGTACTGCATTTCTGCAAAATGCAAAACGCTGCAGAACACGCTTAGGTGTGAACCTAGGGTAAAAGCAAAGTTTAATTTCAAAAAAGTACATAGATATATTATAAAAATAGGGAGGCTTTACTGTTTTAATTTTTTTTTTTTGGGGGGGGCGGGGTCCTCATGCACACTTGACATTTTTACAGCGGCTGTTTTTGGCTTTTGATGTTTTTTTTTCTACAGCTAGTAAACCCCCCAGCATGTTATCCCATGTGTCCATGCACACACAGACTGTAATCAACGTTTTTTGGCAGGGACATTTTTTGGTTGGAAAAAAACCCAGGACTAGTGGGTTTCTAGAGGAGGTTTTTAGCTGTAAACATGCTGAAAAATGCAGTAAAAAGCTGCAAACTGGCGATTTTGCTAAAAAAAAAAACTAAATAACTCAAACGCGGAAAAGGGCAGGAAAACGCTGCTAAACACGGCAAAAACGCAGCTAAACGCTAATGCAAAAAAGCTGAAAAACTCATGTTTTTATCGTGACTTTACACAGCTAACGATACCCGCGTTATCAAAACGTCCAGCGTACATGAGGACGTAGGTAAAAAGTACTTTTGCAGCCTCTAGACCTGGGAGATACCTCCAAAATGAGGAAATCCCTGGTTGTCACCAGAACTAGCATCCCCATTGAAAGACTTCTTAATCCTGTTTTGGTGACAACCCAGAATTTTGGATTTTCTTTCACTTCCACTTCCAGTTCAGTGTTGTGGTAAAACAGTCATTAAACCACCTTGTTTTATGTATTTAAACATTTTTAACAAGTAATAAAAGAGCTTTAAAACAAGTCATCCCTTATCTCTCTAACTGCTTGTTATGTGAAGTTATTTATTCTTAAATATCCTCCTAGATCACAACAAAGACTCTAATTTCAGGGCTTTCTGACATCTTAGAAACACCTGCATTGTGTTTAGACTAGACACTAGAGGGATTTGGTACAATAGAAAGTAATAGAAAAAAACAAGGATTTCTTTGCCTGGGTTGTGAACATGAAGAAGAATTTATCCACAATGCCTGTAGCTACAGAGGTGAATGAAACCTTGTTTTAATGTGCTGTTATTGCTTGTAGAGAATGTGGAAATACTTTTGTGTACATAGTCTGGACACAGGCTCACTTTAATATCTGAAGTTCTGTACAGTACTAGACATGTGCAGAACAAAAAAAAATTGTTTCGTTTTGATTCGTTATTTAAATACTTTTGTTTAGTTAAATTTGTTTAATTCATTTTTGCAATTCATTTCATTTAGTTTATTCGTTTTAGAATTTGATTAGAATTTTGACAAATTGAAATCAATCCGACCCAATTGAAAAGTATCGGCATTCAAATTCAAATTTATTCAATACGAAATTTGAATTTCGGAAGATGCTTATATTCTTTCATTTGTATTCTATTGTTTTTTTCTATTCTATTCGAATTCAAATATATTCTATTCAAAATTAGAATTTCAGAAGACGGTTATATTCTTTCTATTTTATTCTATGCTGTTGTTTTTCTATTCTATTCTTTTTTTATTCTATTCTGTTCTATTTTACTCTACTCTATTCTATTTTTTTTATTTTCTCTTCTGTTTTGTTTTACTCTATTCTATTCTATTTTACTTTTTTTTATTTTCTATTCTGTTTTGTTTTACTCTATTCTTTTCCATTCTATTTGATTATCAATTTTTTGTTCTATTCTTTTGTATTTCAAAATGTCATATATATATATATATATATATATATATATATATATCTATATATATATATATATAAATATATATATATACACACTGCATGTTGAAATGTGTTTTTATATATTACTAGATATATGAAAAATATTTGTAAAAATATATATTTTTTAAATATATTCTTCAGATTTTTTTTTAACATATAAAAAAGTCATTTTTAACATATTTTTTTACATATATTTGTAATTGCATTCCAAAACTGTAGATTAAATGTATTTTTAAAGACGTACAGTATATTTGAAAATTTATTTTTTTTAAATATTTTTTCATATATTTTGTAATATAAATGCATTTCAACATACAGTGTGTGTGTGTGTATGTATATATATATATATATCTATATATATATATATATATATATTTATTGAAATATATTTGAATACGGACCAAATTGTAGTATTTCAAATATATGTCAATATATTTGGGAAGAATGTATTTAAAATATATTTTTCTTCCATGTGGGATAACACTGCTGAACAGGCCTCCCAAACATTTATCTTCTCCCCAGCCAACTTCTGAGCACCCCCTTCCAAGGATTGACTGAGGTCAACTAAATATTCAGAACTCATCGGCTGACCCTTCTACTCCTACTACTACTAAGCTTCTTCCAGAGGCAGACAGGATCAATCAGTCACCAAGCTTGGGGAACCCTGGCCAGACCTAAAAAATAGATTGCTGCTCCACTGAGTACAGCAGAGTTTTTTGCATTCTTTTTAAATCTGCAGCTTTTATTAAAGGGTTTCATTTTTTGTGAAAAGGTGAACTAACTCATAACACCCTGCACCTAATCTGTATATGAGCCTCATCTTCCAACATCCTTTCCAGCGAATATAAAGGTCCAGCACTTCACCAAACAGTGCAGGAGGCTGTACATCAGCATATTGCCCACAATGGTGAGTGTTCATTGGTCACTGGCCAATGAGAATCCCTGGCTGCTGTGTTCTGGGATGCTGTCCCAGAAAAAAGGGGCCTCCGAAAGATTCTAATTGGTCAGTGGGATCTCTTGGCCATTGCTGACCAATGCTTGCATTATGCGCTGTATGGTGATGTTTTAAAGTGCTGGACCATTATACTGGCTGGAGGGGGTGTCAGAAGATGAGGATCAAATAAGGTACATGCAGCGGGAACTGGAGGGGTAGAGAAGGAGTTGTGAGTTAGTTCACCTGTTCATTTTTTGTGCGCAGCACTTCCATCTAGCAGCATTAGGGCTGTTGGTTCAAATCCCAACCACAGCACTACCTGCACTGAGTTTACATATTCTCCCTGTGCCTGTGTGGGTTTCCTCCCACACTCTAAAGGCATTCTGTTAGGATATAGCAAACCTTTTCTTCAAACTACTGAATGCAAAACCCTTCCGACCCTTCGTCTCGAGACAAAGTCGGAAGTGACGAAACGCGTCAGGTAGTGACGTCAAACGCAAAAACCGGAAGGAGCAGTGCGGCCATCTTTGTTGTTGTTTGAGCTGTGTTGGAACAGGATGGACGTTCGCAACTTTGAATGTATGTAAACAGTAATAAATTTGTTTTAATACTTGCACACTCCACTGATCTGGCTCTTCTTTGCCCTATGAGGATCGGGGAACAATGGATTGAGTTA